GGCATTGATACCTGAGAGTACATTTATGAAACATGTATGAGGACATGTAATATATATGAAGCTGTTGGTTCGTAAACAGTGCAGTGCAGCATTTACCAAAATTGAATGTTTTGCCGCAACTGATCTGCGCGGCCCCTCCTGATTTCACACCATAAAACACGACGTTTTACTGTGAAGGGACAAAATGTGATCTAATTGTAAAGAACGGAGAAACAACTGGTTTTGATTAGAGTCCGACCGACCAATGTTTGGAGGCTGATTCCAAAATTAGGGAGTAAAACATTTCTGATAAATCAGCTGATAATATATATTTTAGTATCAAGCTTCAATTATATTTCTTTTTCATAAGAGTGCATATGATGATCATATATTTATATACGGCTCATCCTCTAACCCACATTTATTACGAACAATATGAAACTTCGATCTCTAGGGGTCTCTCAATCCAAAGAATGATAAAAGACGTAGTTTGATGAAATCATGAAGCAACGTGGGATCATGGGAGTTGTTGTCTTCACCACTATTGCTGATGAAAATCTACCTGACGTGACTCAGGCGCTAATCGAGCCAATAGCAGTGAATGACCATGATCCGATATGAGCGACCGATACAAACAGTGAAAAGACAAAAACAGCTGACTGGCTAAATGGCTAGTGTTTTCAAGTTCTAGCAGAGACGGACGAAGACACCAGGAAACTGGACATAACGCAGTTAGAAGGCGACTAAAATGAAAAGTATATTGGGTTTGAACACTGTTGGGAAAATCGTCTATGATGTCAGTACACAAGTCAACTTCATTAATTGATAACTGAAATAGGATCAAAACAACTTTCATCATGGCGGACCACGGATCAGATTAGTAAGTTGGCATGCATTCCTTATGTCGTTTTTATTTTATTTATATATTTATTTTTCGTTTACAGACCAGAAACCAGATCCAATCCCTTGTTGCTTATTTGCAAATGAGCTGTGAACTTTGGATTCCTCTTTAGGACACGGTGTCACAATCAGAGTGACCTGCTGTCATGTGAGAAGTTGTGTGTAACCTGACAGTAACTGTGACCATCCTAGATTATATAATGATTACTGGTGTTGGTAAAAACCCCTTGAAGGCTGAGCGTGGAGTAAAAAAAGTCATGAGAACAGGAACTTCCTTTATTACATAAAACACTTGAATTTCAAACATTAACAGAAGATAGAGATGGATGACGCGTCTCCACTTCCTCCCACTTTTTTAGAAATGAATCCAAAATATCATTGATACGAAGAAGAACTACTCAAAATGACAGAAACCATCCATCCATTGACTCACTGTCTTCTGTTTCTCTGAGCTCGGGATATTCCAGACATCCTTCTTTCATGACACTCTGGTCATGCTCTCCTGCTCTTCCTGGAGAAACCAGAGGAGTTCCCAGAACAGACCACATATGAAGACCCTCCAGTGAATTCTGGATCTACCCCGGGGTCTCTTCCCCGGCGCATCCACCTCAATGGCCCACTTTCAACATAAAGGAGCAACAGTTCTACTCTGCGCTCCCTTCTTGATGTCTGAACTCATCTCAGGCTGAACCCAGCCACTCAACAAAGAAAACTCATTTCGGCCATTTGTTTTCGTGACCTTGTTTTTTCGGACATTACCCAGAACTCGTCCCCAAAGGTGATCGGGTCGGAACGTAGATTGACCGGTGAATCAAAATCTTGCGTTGCGGCTCAGCTCCCTCAACACAAGTTTGATCTTTATTGTGCAACGATCATTAATGTGAATTTCCACAATGAAAGCCACTAGAGTTTTGTTGCTAAGGACACTCGGTCCCTCTAGTCTTCAGACAGCTCTTTTACAAGCTCTTCTTTCCAGACATTTAGTCACAAGGTGGTTTTCCCCCGCCGGTCTGCCTGCAGCCTGCCTGCTGTTATTTATGGAAAGCAACGGTGTGTTGACTTGGTAACATGGTGTTAAAAAGTCTTAAGATGTCAGACAACTGGCTGCTTGTTCGGCCGCCTCAACCTTTGACCTCATAACTCGGCCAGATGTGACACCTCTGACCCTCCATCTGGAAAATGAAAGCAAAAACAGATGCTAATGGCTTTTCTAACCGTGTCAGTGATCACCATATGGTTACAAAAGCAGTATTTGAATACTGTCTTTGTTCGCCACTGACAACCGGCCTGGAAGGGTAAGACGTTCTCGCCACCAACAAAAAAAAAAGTTCAGATGCTCTGGGCTTTGGTTTAATGTGGTGAATCAGCAGACAACACAATTTGGTAGTGACGCATTCTATTACAGGACTTTAGGTGCTTTACTTGTTTTTGCATTTATCTTAATTGTATTAGGAAAATTGGGACCAAGGTTTGGCATTTACAGGGAGGATATGAAAGTACAGCAGCAGTCACTAATCACAGATTGAATAATGTTCAAACTTTTTAAAATGTTGTTAAGGTTTTTCAAAGGGTATGTAGGTCATCTTCCATGTTGTAACCTGTTAGTGTGTTAGGGCACTTTCACACCTTCCTTAGTTTTCCTCGGAGCACGTTCCAGTTCAACGTACCAACATTTTGTCTGTTTGTTCGAGATGATCCATGGTTTAGTTCATTTGCACAGTGAAAACACTTTAATGGATATTCCGGACTTGACGATATAATTTGTTGCACCTGATACTAGTGTGTACTGCACTTGAAGTTTGTGATGCTGGTAGCAATATATCACAGTGGCATTTTCAAAAACGTAGAAGTTGTTGTCGATATTGGAACATTGATTTTGAAGATTTTTGATTCCCTATATGAGCATTATACTATTTTCTTTTTACAGTAAAATGAAAACTGCTTCATTCTGAAAACTAGCAAAAACAAGAGCGTCATGCTTTGGAAGATGGAGCCCAAAGAACCAAAGCTGTCTGCACGACGAGACTCCATCAGGACTGAGTGGAAAAATATGTATTTCTGCAATCTGACTCTTTAAATCTTTTATCTACCACTGCCTCGCTCAGGAGGGTTTTTTGCAACCTGGGAGTCTCTCTGCAGGTGGCATGTGTGTGTGTGTGTGTGTCTGCGTGCATGTGCTGCAGACTTCCATTTGTCTTTCTCGCCTTAACTGGCTCCTTTCTCTGCCCTTTATCTTCCTTTTATCTTTTCATCCATTCCGTCCATTACACGCTGGTAACTGTGGGAATTCTCCTTGAAATCAAAAGAATCCCCTCACATGTGCCTATGAACGTGTGTGTGTGTGTGTGTGTGTGTGTGTGTGTGTGTGTGTGTGTGTGTTGCAATGTCGCTGCACTTGCACGGGTAGAGTCCATACATGAGGGAAGCCTGTAGGAGAGGGTGTATGTTTGCACGTGAGTGGGCGTGAATGGCCTTCGTAGAGAGGGAAACCTGCTCGCTGCTCACTGGCTAAGAGATGTTGAGGGGGGAGGTGCTTCATGTGATGAGCGGAGCGAGGGTTAATGGAGATGAAGAATAGAGGGATGCAGAGACATGGGGGAGGTACAGTTACAGTAACAGTGAAGATGGAGAGGAAATCACAGCAAAAATAATTAAACTGTGATAAATGAGTCAGTGTTTCTGGTACACAAACGTAATAACACTGATTAATATAGGATGAGATTTTCAATTATATCCACCATTTATTGATTATTTGTTAACTCTTAATGTCCTTCAGATATCAGTTTCCTTTGACTAAGAAAAACTCACCTCTGAAGCCAGAAACTGATTCTTTGACAGAACTTCTAAAACCATTTGATTCTGAAAACAAGACTAAATATTTAAATCTACATTTTTTATGTATGTTATATTCTTCCTCCATCACGTGCCTTTAATTGAAACCTCAGAGCGCAAATAAAGCTTGATGACGCATCTCCACGACTTCCCAGTATTTAGAAGGCAGAATATCTCAGAAAGCAGAAAAGCCAGTGGGTATGGATGGGAAGCTGGTGATCACGTTGTTGTTGAAAGAATAATTAAGAAACAGGGAGAAAACTCTTTAAAAACATCCAAAACGAATAGAAAACATTTTTAAAAGGAACATTTAGCAGAGCTGTAGTAGTAGTATGTTGCCTTTTTTAATTAAAAACTAATTGAGTTTGAAAAAGTTTGCTTGATTAAATTGATTACGTTTAATTTAGTCTGTGAAATGTCTGATGAAAAACATGTCCGACACAATTTCACTGAATCGAAGGTGAAATCTTCTCATCTTGTTTTTCGAACATCAGACACCAGCCCATGCTGTTCAGTGGTAGTACAGTAAGAGTCAGATAGAGGGAGGAAGAGGAGGGCAGTCAGACTTAGTGGGTGTGTGTGTGGGGAAAGAGAGAAAAGGAAAAGACAGAAAAGTGTGTGTGTGTGAACGAGCGAGCGAGTGAGCGAGCAGGGGGAGGAGAGGGAAGAAGCAGTGCTGCATCATCACTATGCCACTACAGCAGAGAGGACAGGCAGTTTACTGCCCGACTACCTGACTCTCTCTCCCTCTCTCTCACACTGAAAGCCTGCCGGCTGCCTCTCTGCCTTTCAAGAGGCTTCGCAGAGCAGAGACCTCGGTGACGTTATCCATCACCTCTGGATGTTTGCCTCGTCTGTTTCTGGGACTTTTGCTGCTGCAGACAGTGTTTATTTGTGTGAAAGTGTAAGTGTGCGTGTGTTCGTTCTTTTCAATGGACTGTGGATGAGGCTGCTACCTCCAGGTGTGACGCTGTTTGTTTGGACTGCCTTATTTTGTTTGCTGAGACAACCGTCACTGTCGGCATGAAGGAGTTTTAACATCAGGGCTGTCAGGAAATTCCAGCTTTGTGTTTCCCTCCCTTTCTCCTTGCTACAACCAGAGCTCAACGAGTGGAGGTGGATGCTTGTTTTTTCTTTTTTGGTGTCTGCGTACCGGAGCAGAGTGCTTACCTCAGGGTTCGTAGTGCAAAGGGTTATGATAAACAGCTGCAAAGTGGGAACGACCGGCACTGCAGCATCACACTTGCATCTCTTGTTCTACATTGGGGATTTTTTTTGCCTCTCACGGTTGCACACATGCACATGTTTCACCCCCAGGAGCAGCAGCAGCAGAGCCTGACTGCGTTTTGCACACATGGATGGACTCCTGCTACTTCAGGGACAGGCTCTCTCCTCGCTGAGGAAGAAAAGGTGCTGATTTAAGAACAGGAGGCACGCTTTGTTTTTGGAGCAGAGGACGGGACAAGCAACTTCAGAATTAAACAAGCCTTGAGAAAACAGAATGACGGTTGAGTTGAGCTGAAACTGTCCCCCCTCCTCCTCCTTCCCTCCTCTAGTTCAAACATGAACTCTTCTTCTTATGCGAACCAAAGCAGCTCTCCCCCGTTCTGCCTGCTGGGCGCTGTGGGTTACTCCCATAGCCTGGATACATGCGTACTGGAGGTGGTTGTCATCCTCTTCCTCACCGTGCTGATCATCGCCGGCAACCTGGTGGTGATCTTCGTCTTCCACTGCGCCCCTCTGCTGCACCACCACACCACCAGCCACTTCATCCAGACCATGGCGTACGCTGACCTGCTGGTGGGCGTAAGCTGCCTGGTGCCCTCGCTGTCCCTCCTCCACTACCTCAGAGGCCTAAACGAGGAGCTCACCTGCAAGGCGTTCGGCTACATGGTTTCGGTGCTGAAGAGTGTTTCCATGGCATCTCTGGCGTGCATTAGCGTTGACCGCTACATCGCAATCACCCGCCCATTGTCCTACGCCACGCTGGTGACACCCTGCAGGCTAAGGGTGTGCATTGTCCTCGTCTGGGTTTACTCTGCTCTGATCTTCCTCCCATCCTTCTTCGGCTGGGGGAAGCCTGGCTATCATGGTGACATATTTCAATGGTGCGCAGACTCCTGGAAGACAAACCCAGGGTTCAGCACCTTCATCTTGGCGCTGCTCTATGCACCAGCAGCGCTCACCGTTTGCTTCACCTACGGGAGCATATTCAGGATCTGCCGGCAGCACACAAAGGAGATCACCCAGCGCCACGCACGCTTCTGCTCGCAGACGGAGGGTGACAAAGGCGAGCGAGGGGAGCGGGTCGAGGGCTGCCCAGACAAACGCTACGCCATGGTGTTGTTCCGCATCACCAGCGTCTTCTACGTGCTGTGGATGCCGTACATCCTCTACTTCCTTTTGGAGAGTGCTGGACTGTATCACCATAATGTGGCATCCTTTCTAACGACGTGGTTGGCGATTAGCAACAGCTTCTGTAACTGTCTCATCTACAGCCTCTCTAACAGTGTCTTCCGGAAAGGTCTTGGTCGCCTCTTTAGCCCTTTGTTCCCCTCCTGCCTTGGCTGCGCTGCCAAAAAGGCTCCAACTCCTGTCTGCCCGCGACCAGACCCCCGATGCAAAGTATGATTCCTGACAACAACGAATTTAGGTTTGGTCACTTTGGAGGCACGGCCCTCTGTGTGTGCTCAGCTGCGGAGCATGACAAAGGTGTTTGTGGTCCCGGCATTAAAATGTGTTGAGGACCTCCTGCATGGAGCATGGAGATGTGCCCGTGTGGACGCCTGTTGGTCGTGTCAGAAGCTGATTGTGCAGAAAACAGACGCTGTAAAGTTTCATCTGAGTCTCTCTTGAATGCTCGACAGCGTGATGCTGCAGCAGTGACAAACTGATGACAGAGTAAAGAAGATTGCTCATGATGAGGAAAGTGAACTGTACAAATAAGTGTATTTTAATTAAATTGATTTAATGAACACTCCTGCACTGACTTAAGATGCTCCCAGATGCAAAAAAAAAAGGAATTCACAGTGCGACTTGTGTTGTGCAATATACTGAAATGCAACAAAAAAAAAAGTTTGAATCTTGATCTTTTCAAGCCTGACTGAAAAAAATCTGTTAGTTGTTTTGGTTCTTCCAGGGTAGAAAATGTTTAACACTTGAAACTGACTACTGATCTGTTTCCCCAAGATACTGACGAGTGAATGAGTGACTGAAATCATGTGTTAATCAGCCTTTTTTTGTGTGTGAGATAAAAATGTGTATCTGATGGACTGTAAGCTCATTTCCCAGAGAGAAGATTGAGGTTTATTCTGGAGCTCGTGTGTTTTATTCAAAGGATTCCTCTCTTTTGAAGTTGGGTGTTGGTGGGAAACTCCAAGTATGTTTACACAGTCTCTGGTTCTGCATGGAAATATTGATTTAAGAATTAGCTCTACTTTCTACGATGGCTGCCGACCCGGGAAGTCTTCCTGTCGGCACGCGGTGGCTCGTCAACGAGACAATAAAGTGTAATTATTCGGGAGAGTTTTAATCTCTTTGCATCTCCTCCTCAGGTTTATCAGCTGTTCTCCGTTTGGCCTCGGGGCTGTTGCTCTTTTATCTCAGCAGAAACGCTGTGTGACTTTAATCACAAGTCACATAGCATCGCAAGATAATCACCTCCTGACCTGTTACGCAGTCATCGTCAAGCTGCTGTCTGCCTGGGACCCACATGGGCTCCGATTTAAAGACTCACTCCATTGTAATCTCTGACGTTGCTTCTGTTCCGACCGGTGAGGAGTGGCAGCGAGGAGTCTGCACTGCGCTCTACGTCCCCGACCACAAGGGTGTAAGAGGGTCAGAGCACTTTTCTGAGAGCTTGTGGCTTTTTGGCTTCATGTAAATACACTTCAGAGTTTAAATATTTAAACAGCGGCAAAGTGGGCCCGTTGGGGGATTTCTTGACCTCCAGGATTAGAAATGATTTTGTGGATAGTGCAATGTTTTTTAAAGATGATTTATTTGTCACAACTAAGAGGTTTGAGACTGAAGCTGTTTATTTTAGTTTTATTTTTAAGGAGCAGCGTGTCTTTTTGCACTGCGGGAAGATTTAAGACCTTGAAATTAAAATTTTAAATGTAGAGTTTGGTTTTGAAGTGAAATATTTCTGACAGCGTCTTGCTCCTTCACTTTTACATGTTTGTGGAAATGGGTAGAGATAGAAACTGAATGGGAGGATTGTTCAGAGAGTCATGATGTTGCAGTTTATGGACAAAAGCATATGGACAAAAGCACACAGCCAAACATATGACTGATTGATATGGATTTTTAGGGGCCGATACTGATAGTAGAGACATTTCTATATCAACTTCATGGTAGATCGGGACATTTTTATATCCAACTATTTGGCAGTGACCTAACATAAAATAAAGAAATATAACCAAGGCCTAATATTTAACAATTTAACCATAAACTTGATTATAAAAAACTCAAATACTATTAAATACATAGAACTTGAATAGCAAATATTGGAAAAAAGCGACTATTTTGATAATCAATCATAAATTTATAACATTTTTGAACAAAATAAAGCTACTTGGAGACTTAAGCTTGGGATTTAAATGTGATAAAAATGTAAATATAACTTTATATTTGGTCAAATTCTTACTGTTTAAATCAGTTAAAACATCTAAAAGTATTTTGCTGCAAAACAGTAGAAATTCATCGAAAACAGCAGGTTTTGCAGGACTCTTGACAAAGTGCACTTGTGTTTGGTAAGCAAGTTAACGTGTTTATTTGTTTATTTAACAGGGAAAGTTCATATGATGAGAGTAATTATTACTGTAAATGTACCAGAAGAACCTGCCGTCGCAATTCTTATTCTCATTTCACAGAGAAACTGAGAATTAGACAGCTACAGTATATCAGGTTCAAGCTAACTGATGAGAGAGAAAATACAAAATCTTCAACTGTCATATGGAAACTCATAATATATAAATAAATAAGTCATATTTATACTTTGTAACTTATAAATAAGTAGTTAAATCCAACCCTGATGGAGATAAACTGAAAGCTGCTAAACCTGCGAGCTAAATCTTGTTAAAAGTTGTCGACCTGAGATAAAGTGATTTATTGTGGTTTAGCAACTGTGCTTTGAATTCACATATTTAAAAGTATTAAAGAGTAGGTGAAGTTATTTTAATTTAAATATAGCAACCAATGTTTAATGACAGAAAGCTGTAGAAAAGTAAGACTTTTGGTTCGTTAGCTGTATCTTTACCTCAGAATCCAAGAGGACTGTTAAAAGACAGGTTGTAGATCTAGTGTTTGAAGTTTGGTGTATTACAAAGATTATCGCCCAGATATTAAAATGGTTCCAAACCCATCAGAGTATGTCAAATTGATTTATCACTCAACTTCTATTCTCTAGAGCATCCATTTGATCATACTGTGCATTAAATAATTGAATAATGTTTACATTGTGTGTTAAATATGTATTAATATAATTTAAAATATATTCCCGGTAGAACTTTGATGTAAAAATATGAAAGAAAAAAGGACAAATCCACATTTATTGTCACAGGTGTGTGTGTGAGCACAACAGGAAGTTGTCTGAAAATCTTCTAAAAGCCGTGATTGAAAGTTCATTCTCGAAAAAATGGAAAAACCACAAGGTCCATCTAGTGACTTGAAGATGTATCACATGATCTTCCTCAGCAGTCGTCTCATTGCGCTGTTCTGAAATTGTAAATGTTCACATGAAATTAATTTGAATTAAATATTAATTTAAAATAGTCTTGTTTTATTTCATTGTGACAGTAAGATTAGCTGTTGCAATGCATGTTTAGATGATGATGATGATGATGAAGATGATGATGGTGTCGCCCCTGCAGAGACAGAAATGTGCAGTTTCACTACAGGGGGTCAGAGGTCAGACTAAGGTCAGGGTTCAGCTGTTGGTCATTTCTAGAGACACACCAGCTGCTGGCAGGAGGATGGAACCCCTCCATCCCTGCTGCCTCCATTATACTTAGTTCTAACACTTTTCTATGTGACCGTATGTTTCTGTATGTTCGCTGTGAAAGTTTCAACTTGTTCGATTCCTGCTTGTGTGGTTTTGAACAGTTTACCTTCTTCAGTCTGGACTGACGTCTGTCTCATGATGCTGCTGAGAGCAGTTCACTGACTGTACCTCTTGTCTTCGCATCATAACTGCTGTTGTGTAACACACCTGAGTCAGAGCGTTTCTGTTTGTCACGGTTTGTGGGCGAAAACAAGAGTGACCCCTGTCGCTGCTTTGGGGTGAAAAAAAAATTACACATATCTGCAGAGAATGAAGTCATACAATCAGAGTGGGGGCACATTTCAAGAGCTCAAGCACCAAAGGTCTCAGTTAATATAGTTGTCTGCATTTTTGTGCTGATTTTCCCTGACAGCAGCGTGAGGTCGCTCTGCTTCAACCCTCAAACCACAACAAATCAGTAAAAGAAGTAAAATCGCAATGAAAGGGCTGAATTAACTGTGGATAAGTCGTTCATCAAGCTACTTAGATCTGTTGCAGATTCATGTGTAATAGTGGCTGTATTTATCTGATTAAAATGAGATGTGAAAAATGTCTTTTGTATTGATTTGGTACCAAATAATCTCAAATATGCACAATCAGACTACAGATCAGTCTGGAAATCTCCGTTTACGATGCTGCTTTCAGACCTGCACTGAACTTTAGACAACTTCCTGAAGTTATCTGGAGGAGCTGTATGTGAGGACACAAATGCATCATAAAGAGTTAAACACAAAACTTGCACATGTTTGCAACATTACATTTCACAATAAAACATCATCACAAACATTGGACAAACGTTGGTCTTCAGGGCTAAATGGGAATTAATGTAATAAACAAAATCTGTGTTTTCTTTGATGAGTTCAATTAATCACAATAACGAACATTTAGATTATTAAATCACGCCGGAGCAGTTCGTTCTACAGCGGACACAGATAACGAAAAGTTGATGGCAGCTAATCTTGTGTCACCAAACTTGAAGTCAACAATTGTGAGCAAATCTGCAGTACTGGGGATTTTTGCTGATAAATATGAAGTGTTATGAAAGCGAGTGTCCCTGAGCAATGACACAGACTCAAGTAGACTGAGCTTGTTGAACAGTTTGGTAAGAAGATATCTAAGTAACACAGCGTTCTGTTTACTTTCCACAGATTCAAAAACAAAAAAGAGGTGAAAGAGTGAGGGAATAAAACCAGGCAGTTAATCTGTGCCGTGTTAATCTGTGGTGTGATTACAGCATCTCTTTATTTTCTCCTGCCGCAGCTGATGATTAAACTGTATCGTTCCTCTGTCTCTAGAGTGTTCCGCAGCAGAGTCCTGCTTTATTTGGCTCACATGACGTTGCCCTTCTGTGCCAAGTGGCCATTCCCACCACGCTCACATGACATGACTGTTTGTGTTTGATGCCATTGATTGGGCTCACATGAAAGTTAATGATCAGGAGAGAGCACATTAAAAGTCCCATGTACAATGCGTGATTGTCTCAGTGAGGTCCAAACCGTGAGGTCCGGACTGCAGAGCGTCCACAGCAGCACATGTGTCTTCAACAGAAGTGAGAGACACTGTGGATGGACACACATGTTGTGTTGCTGTGGACCTCATTGGAATATCTTTATATATATATTTTTTTTTTTTTTTTAATTCTTGGTGGGATCAACCTGATCAGTGACCCTGAGTTATAACCACAGAAACAATATATTAATCACAAATGAGGATAGAATCCCCTCAATTCCTCCATTAAATCAGAGAGTACCCTGAAATACCACCTTAAATCAGAGAGTACTCTGATTTAAGGTGGTATTTATATATAGACACATTTTCCCAAATATTATATGTACAAATATATAGATTATATAATTGTCCGTGAATGTTATTTTTATTCTGTA